AGGCCCCGCCCAACACACGCAATATCCTCCTAATTCGTCGCACTGGGAGCGGAGAATCTCCTCTTGGCAATGCTTTTGAACAAAAATGATAATTTTGAGGAAGTTTTTAAGGAAAGTGATGCTAGTATCAGCGAAACCAAGCATATTCAAACCGAGAAGTTCGCCCTTGTTTTAAGTAGAGATGGCACTCAACAAATTAATTATCTAGTAATTGACACAGCCGGATTTGGCGATACTAAATTAAGTGAAAAAGAAGTTCTCCAATTGCTTAAAGATTTAGTGCCAATTATTAAAGAAAATGGAATCAATCAAATATTCTTAGTTAATAATGGTAGGTTTAAAAAAGAAGAAATCGACATTTACAAAATATTAGAAAATGTTCTTTTTGACGAGAATGCTGGCAAATTTACTACTATTGTGCGGACAAAGTTTTCTCGATTTGGCGACCAGGAAGCTTGCGAAGAAGATGAGCGAAAATTGCGAACAGAAAACAACGAAATTGCTGAGATTTTGCAAACAAGCAAATTAATTCATGTCGATAATCCGCCATTGGAAGGTCGTCCAAGGGTAATAGAAGTAAATAAGGAAACCAGAGAAATGTCTCGAACAAGACTGTTAACTTACCTTGGCACTTGCCAGGATAATTATAAATCGGCTAAATTAGAGGAGTTAGGTAAAAGAACAGATGCTTTTCTAACGCAAGAGCAAGCACTAAACCAAGAAATCACCGACAAAGAGCAAAAAATCAAAGAACGCGAAGCCGAATTCCAAAAAGAAGTGGAAGCTATCCAACAACAAAAAGCTCGTGATTTAAGAATTACCGGTCGGAATTTCGAAAGGCAAGTCCAAAGAATTACAAAGCCAAAATGAAAAAAAAGTTCAAACCACGCGGCAAGAACTAGAAGAAGTTAATCAGGAACAACTTCGCCAATCACAAGCAGCTTATAACCAATCTCTTAACCAAATTAATAGTGCTTGTCAAAGTAATTTAAGCCAAATTAGCAATAGTTTTAATAACGTCCAAGTTGGCGAACCAGTTTGCCGCTACGGACACGATAATAACATTCAAGTTTACAATAAGTCAGGAGAGTTTGTTTCAAATTACCAATCCGATTTTATTGGGCATATTTATTGCCCGACCTGCGGCACTAATGATTATAACTGTACTTTGCGTAATGCTAAACCTTACACGCTGGAAGAATGAAGTCGAGAGTTTGCCGAGCAGGCTAGGGAGAGAACCCGCAGAATGGAAGAAGCTATTCGGGAAAAGTGCGGAAAAAGGCAAAATATTCAATGTTTAAGCCGAATTTGGAAGCCCCGCAGGGCAACAACGGCGGTTTTGGAGAGAAAATAGGGGGTTCTGGGGGGATTTTCATTAGCTACCTAGCTAAGCAAGCAGTGAAAATATAATATTATGTCTGGTCGCAATGTCAATGTCTACTTACAAGAAAAAACTTATAGCAAACTCCGGCAAGCCACCACTAATGAAAGACAAATTAGTCGTTTTGTTAATGAAGCAATCGAAGAGAAACTAGCTCGTAAAAAAGCTGAAGCAGAAAAAGAACTAGAACAAGCCTATCAAGAAATCGCCCAAGACCAAGCCCGCTGAAAACTCACTAAGCAATGAGAAAAAGCCTCCTTAAAACGAAAGCGAATGAAATAACAAACCAGATCACCGAGCCCAAAAGCCAAAACCAAAAGGTGCTGAAAGCCAAAAAAGCCGTCCGGGGGCCATTGTTTCTAATCGCAAACAAAATCAATTTAGTAACGCGGTGATTGTCGCTCTAATTACCTCCCAAGTTGACAAAATTTATCCTTTTGAGGTCGAGATTGTTTGTGAAAGTCAGAAAAGCAAAATTCTCACCGACCAAATTTACACGGTTGATAAAAGCAGATTAGAAAGAAAAATGGGTCAATTAACTGAAAAGCAATTAATTGCTCTTGCCCCAAAGGTCTCCACATTGTTTTGAATTGGAAGATTAACGTTTAAGTAGAATTCTGCACTTTTTAGACAAAAAACAGTTAGGTCAGGTTGAGTGTATTTTCACCGCCGCGATTTATTTTTAGTTGGTGAATGATTTTCGGGATGTTGAAACATTTTTGCTCTGAATAATTGGTTAGTTTGATTAATGTTTTTGGTCAAAATGTATAAATAAATTTTAACCTGATTTTGGCTAATAATTCAGCTAAGAAAATCAATGATTAGTTAAGAATTGAGGGATTAAAATTTACCAGTTTTTTTTTGCTAAGCAAAAAGAGCAACCACCAAAGCCGCCAGCGAGTAGAGAAACCTCTTTTTAGAGGAGTTATTTTATTTTTAATCTAATTACCGAAAAGTCGACTAAAAAATGACCCCGATCCACCAAAAGCTCGACCAAATTCTCCTCAAAGGGAATCTCTTCTTTGCTCCGCTTGCTGAATATTTGCTCGTCATTCTTGGACTTGTTGATTGCTTTGGTTCCTTAGATTAGTTTCCCGCGAACTAGCACTGGAATTAATTTGGTCTTCTAAGTCTTGCCTTTGTTTTTTAAGATTAATTTCCCTCTCTAATTGTTGCTGCTTTAACAATAATTCATCATTTTCTCTTCGCAAGTCCAATTCTCTGCGAAAAGCCGTTTCACGTTTATTTCTTGCTTGCATTATCTGATTAATCATATCTTGTTTTTGTCGTTCTTGTTCCCGAATAGCTTCTTCCATTCTGCGGGTTCTCTCCCTAGCCTGCTCGGCAAACTCTCGACTTCATTCTTCCAGCGTGTAAGTTTTAGCATTACGCAAAGTAAAGTTATAATCATTAGTGCCGCAGGTCGGGCAATAAATATGCCCAATAAAATCGGATTGGTAATTTGAAACAAACTCTCCTGACTTATTGTAAACTTGAATGTTATTATCGTGTCCGTAGCGGCAAACTGGTTCGCCAACTTGGACGTTATTAAAACTATTTCTAATTTGGCTTAAATTACTTTGACAAGCACTATTAATTTGGTTAAGAGATTGGTTATAAGCTGCTTGTGATTGGCGAAGTTGTTCCTGATTAACTTCTTCTAGTTCTTGCCGCGTGGCGTGAACTTTTTTTTCATTGTGGCTTTG